CCGCTCGGCCGCGGAAAGCGAGGGCGGTCCGGCCACCGCGGGCCCCTGGCCGACATTACGCTCCCCTACCCCTCCGCTGCGCGACTCTCACCTGACCCCCAAGGCGAGGCGGCACAACATGGCGGCTTCCTTGCTACACCGACGGCGCAACCGCGCTGAAGCCCGCCCTCCGCACCGCCCTTCCCGGAGCCGCGGGGCGGGCGCCTTCGGCGAGGCGGGCGGTGCGCGGGGCGGGCGGCTGAGGGACGTGGGCTTCGCCCAGTTGCAATCACCGTGTTTCTTCATATTGAGAAAAATACCCTTTTTTTTTTTTTGAGCATTCTATGTAACAGAACCACTATATAAAGCCGTTATCCTAAAACTCAAGCCCTCAGTGCCGCAAGCCGAGGCGAGGCTGACGCCGAGGAGGAGGACTAGACTAAGGAGCCGCTACCACGGCAGAAAATTGCCTGCGAGGAGCTTCTGCTCGTTGTACGGCTGTTGGGCACCGGAGGCGATGGAGGGCCACGACAGACGTAGTAAGCTCTGAAAACCTGCCTGGTGAAGAAATGTTTGTCAGTTTACTGACGGGACCAGCAGCGCTTACAAATACCTTTTCAGCTTTTTTGTCTAAGACTTACTTTTTCCGGCTCTTTTCTGTTCTTTTCCTCAAGTCTTTGTGCGCATCCTGTTTCCAAACATCTGTTTTCCTCCTGGTAGCCATTCAACGGCCTTGAGCGCTGATGAAAATCCTTTATTCGGGTACCTTAACCCCATCAGCTAAAATAATCGGCATAGTTAGTGCAAACGAGTTCAAAGACCCATTAAAAATTGGTTCTCCAGAAAGGTCAGCGAGGGGAACTCTTCCCTAAGTTAGGAGGCACTGCACAGACAAGATAAACATCAGGCAAAATTTGAATTGCATAGAAATCACCTCTGCTACCACAAAACCCTCAGTCTTTGGCTTTTGTTTATTTAAACAAACACGTCTATTCTAAGATCTTACAGAACCCACATTTATCAGACTATAAGAATACAAGTTACAAAAATTCAGTGGGGTTTAGGTCCGAACAACCTTCTTGAAAATTACCTTATCTTGGAAACTGCCAGGAAATCCACCCGGAGAGACCCACACAGGGAACCTCAGCCCACTGCAAGGCACAGTACAGTGGTGTGTGTCCGTCCTCCTGCTTCTTGAAAGGCCCTAGAAAACCACGTTAATTTACTTCCACCTATCAGCTAGTGGTACTCTCTGGACATCTGAGCAGTGAAAATAACTGCTTTATCAATAGATATGATAAATGGTGAATTGCCCAAAATCAACGGGTTTGGAAACAAGATTTTTTCCCCTGAATGCTGAAAATACATACAGCAAGATTTAGGCAGTACCTAATTTCAAAGAGGAGCATGTTGTATTTAGTGGTGATAATAAAATGTCATCTTTTGTTAAAATGAACCAACTATATTTAGGATTATTAAATAAGCATTGACAACCAAGCAAGAACATTACTGGTTGCAGCATTTCTGTATGTGTTATTATACTGCAATTCACTAATGCTTTGCAGTAAGCGTTTCAAGAAAGCAAGTCAATAATATGATGCATTTTGATATTAACTGGTGCAGTTTCTGGGTTGCATTCATTTGGGGCAGGAGGGAATCAAACAAATAAAACACCCCAGCCTGCTTATTTAGAAGATACTCTAAGCAGCCTTACAATTACATTCTTTCAACACACTAAGCTAACTTCTAGTCTGAGGGTGTAATTCCTATTTCTATTTTTTTTTTAGCTCTTCAGCTAAGTTTTAATTTTTTATTATTTAAAAATTAAGTACCACACACTTGAAAAAAATTAAATGATCCTTATATGGAGTTTTAAGACATGAATGTCCTATAGTAATGGACAGATTTCAGTAGCAAGCCATCACTGCCTGAAAGCCATGCATTTTTTTTAACCTTACCACAATTAATAGCAATTACTGTAAATCCAAAGATATTTTACATCTAATTCCTTATACTAGGTGAAAAGATGTCTGCCATTTTCTTGGCTTTCATATTTTAGACTGAGATTTGAACCACAATCACAGATTTCCCCACAAGGCTCTTTACCATCTGTATTACCATATAAAGCCGTTGTTACTATCTGTTAGCAGCATTTCAAGCTTCTTACAATGTTATATTCTACCATGTATATATACACGCACTATGGACAATCAAGCAATATGATACTAAGACCAAACACAAATCACCAGCAACTACAGATTTAGATCACCATCAGGGATTTTTGTAAACCAGAAATTACTTTGGGTGCCAGATAGTGGTACTTTTTTTTTTTTATAGATACTTGTCACTTCCCTTTCATGCATTCAACTGCCTAATAACTGCTATTTTTCAGGCAATGAGGGCTAGTGTAACCTTCAAAAAACAACTGGGTATTGCCAATGGAATTTACACTTCCAGTGACAACTACTAAGTCATTTTAATACATTTAAGTGAACCCTATAAAATTAAAATAGAAGTGATACATGGTCTAGCATGTCTTCAGCATGGATGACAGCTGCTGATGGCATTTTAATTACATCCATCTTGGACAATACTACTGCAGATGCTAATTCTCATATATGCCACTTAAAAACAGTACCACAGGAACCCTTCTATAATCTAGAAATGTGTAAATTTGAAACAAATTCATGTATGTCCTAGAAATATTGCTTTTGAACAACAAGAGTCTGTTTCCACAGCAAATTGCAAAGCTATAAGCTATTTGCTATTGTTTTAGTGGCTACACGAGATAAAACTATTAGTCATCTGGTAATTACAAGATTCACAGATAGAAAACATTGAAATTAGACTTAAGTCTACCTGAAACTATACTAAGTGCTTTTATTTTCCCTTTGAACAGTGCTTAAAAGCCAGTGTTTTTTCATCTTCTTGCTTATGTGCTACCACCACTGAAGTAGTAGATAGAAAATAACCACCAGAAATTCAGGTTCTGAGAAATTCATAACTCACTGCTACTGAACAATACAAGTATGCTTAATTAGAGGTAATCTTTTCGTTCTCTGTACCTGTTAAGTCAGTTCCCTCAGGTAGGTATTTAAAAACAAGAGGAGTTATATATGATTTAAGAGGCTGAATTACTAACTCCTTAAAGTTTTGTAGTTTAATTTGTATATTTACCTGTTGGATACTTACAGCTTTTGGGGTTTTCTTTAATCTCTACAAAAGCCAGGTTCCGACTCTAAGGTTTATTTCTATTAACTTTTTCCCTTTCCCCCCAACCCTCCCCTTATCTGCCAGCAAGGACAAAACCTGAAAGAGTAAGCACTATCAGGCTAGCCTTTAATTAGTATGATAGTGCACACTCTAACTTCAGGTATTTGGCATAAGCTGTATCGGATAGGACTGACACAGGAACAAATTCAATAAAAAAAGCAAGTACTGTAAAGACACTGCATACAAATAAGCCATGTAAGCCAATGCAGAACAATGAGGAAATTACATTATTAAAAGTTTTTATTTAGGTTTGGTCAGTACAGGTAAGATAATATTGGAGTCACAGAGCAATATGCATAAACAGGATACAACAGTTCTTAAAAACTGAGTAACTATGCACACAATTCATAAACATTCGGTCACCTAAGGAGAAAATGCACAGATGTATGGTGGGAAAAACTGTAATTAACACTGAAACTACTACAGGACTCCTTCAGAAAGTCCATCTTTTAGTGATAAAACTACTGTACTGGGCAAACTTGGCAGTCATAAACCCACATCTATTATGACAAATCTTGAAGGTGGTGTAAGTATAACAGTATGAGTAAGAATGCCCTTACACAGCACAGGTTCTAGATATACACAGATTTGTACAGACATCGTTTATGTTATACTTTATGGAAATAACTTCCATTTCAACTTCACATTAACTCATATAAAAATAACTTGAGCTACACAAACGTCCTTTTAGCAACATTCAACGTAATTAACTGTTAAAATTTCCAAAGTGGCAGAGGTATTGAAGCAAAAAGAAACCCACAGAAAGGCAAAATTGTGACAAGTATGCACTAATTTAAACGGCTTCTGGACAGTATCCTCTCCCAATTTAAATGACACTGTATAAAAATGTTGCAGAAAAACGTTACAAAACTGAACCCTGCACATTTACACTGGAGTCCAAACCATTCTGGACATGACGAGAACCCAGAGTTCTGTTACCTTTCATGCTCACTGTTTTCTCCTCTTGAGGATCATGATTGGAGTCTGTGTCATTTGAGTGGTGAGTGAGAGAGTTTTCACTGCCAGTGGGAGAGTCTACACTTTCATACCCAGTACTGAGCTGGTTTATGTAGCTACCACTTCCTCTACCAGTTCTATCTTCAGAGTGGTTGGACAGCTTATTACCATTCCCTGGAGAAGCTGGGAAGTCATCCTCCGCGCCGCTACCCTCCCTATAAAATCCAGGCCCAGACGTCCGCTGATGGGAGGAGCTACCATTGCTTGGTCCGTTTGCCAGGCGGCTGCAGTCTTTACCCACAGCCTCTCCCTGGTCTGTAGGCTCAGAAGATGGAGTCCTGCTGGTACCTGGGTTGGAGACCTGGGACTGCTGCTGCTGGTACTGTGCCAACTGCTGGCGAGTCTCCTTCAACTGCTGCTGAAGAACTAGAATGGTACTCTGCATACCCTCTACCTCCTCATCAAGCTGGATGATGAAGTCATTCAACTCTATATAATAAAGAAAACACATTTGTTGCAAATACTTAATAGCCCATATATAGCTTGAATCTCAGACAAAAAAAATCAAAATCCTGTAACTCAACATTTTATGCTGAAATTTTTCAACAGACTACATTTTTCAGCCATCAGGTATGCACTGGTTTTAATACTCTGCCTCTGAAGGAGGAAATGCTTAATTATCATCTGTATACTTTTTACACTATTCAGAATATATGGGAAGAAAATTAACCTCTGGGCAAGAAAGGAGGATACCTGGAAAACAGTTCAATTCCAACAATTAGTATTTTGCAAGTAGATCCTCGTGTAACTACTTTTACTCTAGTATAAAACCTTAGCAAAAATACTGTAAAGGTGACCATGAATCACATCTGTATATAACAGAGCTGAGTAATTACAAAAGCCTATTCAGTGACAA